CTTTTGTTCAATGTTATTTTAGTATCGGGATAATATTATAATTTTTATTAATATTTTAAAAACGTTTTTATATTTTTAGGTTTTCACTTTAATTTTATTCAAGTTTTAGTCATTTTGTTGTGTTTGTCATTTTTTTTATATGTATATATAATTTTTATTAATTTTTTATTTATTTTCAGTTCTAGTTATTTTAGTATCTGGATAATATTATAGTTTTTATTAATATTTAATTATTTATTAATATAAATATAGATTATTTATTTATATAAATTATTAAATTAATATTTTGAAAATGTTTTTGTATTTTCACTTTCATTTGATTCAAGTTTGTCATTTTTTTATATGTCTATATAATTTTTATTATTTATTTTAACACACACTGAGGGACTTTTAACCATAAACGAGCCCAAAATCCACTGGGACTCTTATTCTGAAATGTCTCTGCTTTACTTCTTCCTGCTGCTCATTCAGAAAGATGAAAGACATCAAATATGCATCTTACAACATATTATAATATACAAACCATAATGTAAATATTGTCAAATCAACAATGGTGCATCATAAGGGATCGCGTGATATTAATTGATTGCGTCACATTTATTGAACTCAATCCTTTTGAAGTTTAATAATAACGTCACACTATTATAGTTTTTATTAATATTTTGAAAAGGTTTTTGTATTTTTATATTTTTAGTTATAGTAATTTGGTTGTGTTTTTTGTTCAGTGTTATTTTAAAATCATTCAGTATTATTTTAATATCAAGACAATATTACAGTTTTTATTAATATTTTGATAAAGTTCTTGTATATGTTCCGTTTTCATTTTAATTTTAGTTCAAGTTTTAATAATTGTGTTGTTTTTTCCCCTAATTTTTATTAGCCATTGTTTATTGTTATTTTAGAATGGAGACACTATAACAACCTTTATTAATATTTTGAAAGAGGTCTTGTATTTATATATTTTCTCTTTTCATTTTCATTTTAGTTCAGGTTTTTCTAATTTTGTTTTGTGGTTTCGTCATTTTTATTAGCCACAGCTCAGTGTTATTTTAATATCAAGACAATATTACAGTTTTATTGACTCAGTTGACTCAGTGACTCAGGGACTCAGTGACTCAGTGACTCAGTGACTCCGTTGACTCAGTTGACTGAGTGACTCAGTGGACTCAGTGGCTCAGTGGCTCAGTGGCTCAGGGACTCAGTGGACACAGTGAATCAGTTGACTCAGTGACTCAGTGACTCAGTTGACTCAGTGACTCAGTGGAAGGGTTTCGGATCGACCGCGCCGCTCAGCTGCTCTCTGAGACCAAGCGTCACCTCACCGGCCAAAAACATGTCCAAACTGGAGCAGATCCTTATCCTAGAACCCCCCACCGACCTGAGGTTCAGAGGTAAGTGAGGAACGCGGACGGTCGCCGTGTTTCGGTGAAGTGTAAGCGGGTTAATGCAGGAAGGGAGCGCGGGCCGCGCCGGATCCCCGAGCTCGAGTAACTGACAGGCGGCCGCTCCTGTTCGCGAGTTCCCGGCACACGGCACGCCGCTCACCGGCGGCACTGAGGCGAAGCGGACCGGGTGTCGGTTGGGTTTTGATTGGCACGGCTGGTTAGCACTGCCAGGTCATTTTACCATGGTAAAATAGAAATTAAGGTGTCCGGTGCTTACGTGGATGCGTTTCAGTAAAGAAACAAACCTTTACAATAAAGTCCCGTGACAGTGCCATGGCATTATATTGTACTATGGTATATCTATGGTACTTTCAAAACGTTTAGCAAGTAAATTCACTGATTTCTGGACATGTACCATGGTACTACCTCACGGAGAAGTGAATGAATCTCATTACCATGCTATAAATCAAAGTACCATCGGTTTACCATCTGATACAATCACTAATCATGTTACTATCACCGTGCTTTATTATGTAAGAGTATATTTATTATATATTTATTATATATGTCTGTATGGTGCTGCCCTGATTTAAGGACATGTACAGAGTACAGTGACATTACCATGGTGTTCTTTCAATTATGTTAGAGCAGATGCTTTCTTAAAAAAAAAAAATGCAATCGACCCCCAGATTTATTTATAATATTATAAAACCATTGTACGGGTTTCCCCCCATCCTAAAATTATTTAAAAGGTTTCTTGTGTAAATACACAATCTATATCTAAAATATTATTTGGAAATACTTTTTATCCTTTATATGTATTCATTTATATTTATAACACTATTTTATTCTTTTAAATGACTGCTATAGTACTGCATTTGTTTACTTATGTTAATCTAATGTTGTAATTTTACATTTAAAGTTGTATTAATTATTTTATATTTTTTATTATTATTTATTAAAGTACTGTATTTACTCTTTTATTTACGTATTTATTTTAATATAATTTTATTTATTTACTCACTTATTTACTTATTTTAGTCAAATTTTCAATTTATTTAAATAATTATTTTAACTTTATTTTTTATTAATTTATTTGTTAAAGTACTGTAATTATTTAGTGTTTACTCTTTATTTATATATTTATTTTAGTCTAATTTTTTATTTATTATTTATTTTAATTGCATTTTATTAAACTTTTTTTTTGTTTTTGTTTATTTATTTGTTTATTTCCATGCATTCCCTTGCATCCCCCAGTTTACAAAACCCTGCTTTTGAGCACCATATAAATATTATTGTGCATGCATTTCAGTACCATGGTATTATCCCAGCTGATGCATCACTGTAGTAGTGTTTGTAAGGGTGTGATTACCTAATACTGCCAGCTGACTGCTTTTCTCATCTGATTGCCTTTAAGATAGTACTATGGTACAGTGATGGTATTGGGTGGTAATACCGTGGTGCTTTGATATATACCTTGCAAATGGATTGCGACCATACCATGGTATTCTGAAGTACTTAAAATCTGAACATGTGAGCGATTCATGCATTACAGCAGTAAGTACACGATTACTAAACATGCATGTTTTAAGTTAAGGAGGTGGAAAACCTCACAGATTCCTCTGTGTTTGTCCTGTGATAAATGAGTAACCAGCGCTGTGATAACGCCTGATGATTTTTACCTGCATATTTGAGGAGTCTTTAATAGCGTAGGATTTTACCCAGCACTGGGTTGTATTTTACCCAGCATTTTTTAGAGTGTGCTCTGTGATGCTTTTGGGAGACTCTATAGGAACAGGAGCAGATTCTGCAGGACGCCTCGGCTCATCCAGTTGAGTAAAACTCACTAAAGTTCACTGCTTTGTTACTACTACTACGAAGCAGTAGTTTGTGGTTTGAGCGTGTTGTGAAACGAGTATTCGGATATTCAGGTGATGTCGACACGACCAATAAAGCAGCTTTTATCAGGCTTAGGGTTAGATATGGAGTTTGTTGTTTTAAACTCTTTTTTTCCAAACTTTGGTGCATTTCTTTGTGAAAGCCTTTTTCATGTGTGCATCCTTAAAAAGGACTAGTGAATCATGTTTATGGTTTGGTGACGTCATGAGATTTTGAAGAGTTTTGTAGCTTTCTCTTTATATGATTTTAAAATACTTTTTTACCTTGTACCAAATTTTGTGATTTGTTTACACTTGTTCAAATGTTTGTGGTCGGTAAGATTTTTAAAAGTTTTTGAAAGAGGCTCTTCTGCACACACAGGCTGCATTTATTTGATCAAAAATACAGTAAAAATAGTGAAATATTATTCTAATATAAAACAACTGTTTTCTATGTGAATCTCTGTTAAACTGTAATTTATTTCTGTGATGCGCAGCTGTATTTTCAGCATCATTACTCCAGTCTTCAGTGTCACATGATCTTCAGAAATCATTCTAATATGCTGATTTGCTGCTCAAGAAACATTTCTGATTATTATCAATGTTGGAAACAGTCGTGCTGCATGATATTTGTGTGGAAACTGTGATGCGTTTTATTTTTCAGGATTCTTTGATGAATAGAAAGTTCAAAAGAACAGCATTTATTTGAAATATATATTTTTTTGTAACATTATGTAAATGTCTTTACTGTCACTTTATCAATTTAATGCATCCTTGATGAATAAAAGTATTAATTAATATATATTTTTTAATTGTGCTGACCTCAAACTGTTGAACAGTAGTGCAGGAGCTGTTTTTTTTTGGTTCTCGCCTATTAAGAGCTCTTAATAATTCTCTTCTATGTATTTTAGAAAATGAATGCTATATACTTCCAGGAGCGGCGATGTGAAAGGCTTTATTTTTCTGCTCTCTCTGGATGTTCAGGAGTTTTCGTAGCATCTCTGTACCTGAGATAAAGGGTCTGGATTGACTGTTCAAGATCTTAATCATGTTTTTTGGGCAAGTTCTCCTGACAGTAAGTGGCAGCATGAGATGATGATTAGCAACAGATCTTTACTGATTCGTTGCTGCCATACGGTGATTCCAGTAGTAGTGTTTCATTACAATACTAAGAAATAAGTTCTGTAATCCTATAATAATGTATAATTAATAAATTCTATAATATAATAGTTATTCATAATTGATTATAATAATAATAATAAAGCATTCATGTCACAAATGCTGCAGGACGACACGAATACTTTCAATTACTAATCTGCCTGATAATATCACAGCCTCAAACGTTGCATCCAGTCAAATCCCTAATGCGGTTTCATGTCATCCTGAGCGGCTGCAGACGAGGAAGAGGCTTGTGTTGATGTTCTGATGGGTTTGTAACCCAATAAATAAATGAGGTGACCGGAAGAGGAGCCCTGAGCTAAATACAGCTGCCATCAGCCGCCTGTTTCTATCCTTCTCTGGGCTAGGCATTTTTACATGGCGACACTCAAGGTTTGCTTTAGTTTCGGTAAACTTTAATATCATGGTGGCATGGCACCATAACAATTCAGTTAAAATGACCTTTTATGAGCATTTTTAGCTTTATAAGGCCAATTTTTGTCTAACCTAATTAAATGTATGCATCATCTTTTGTGTCAAATTCTTAAATTTAATCAATAAATTAAAATAGTAAGACACTATAGAGCTGTTACCAATCAAATGAAATCAGTATCAACTAGGGATGTAACGATTAACCATGAGTTGGTTGAAAATCGATTTTAATATGTGAGGATTCAAATCTGTTGAGATGCTAAACAAATCGCGATTCATTTAGGGGTAGGAGTTTATATGAATGTATGTCTGAGAGGAACTTACTGTCTTTAGATGGTATTTTTTCTTTTCCTCTTGCCTCTGTATAATGCATATTAAAGTTCATAAGTGCAGCGCTGCTTTGTTTACAGCGGTATCCAAGGAAACACTGTATCATTGCTGTTCATAAGCGCAGCGCTGCTTTGTTTACAGCGGTATCCAAGGAAACACTGTATCATTGCTGTTCATAAGCGCAGCGCTGCTTTGTTTACAGCGGTATCCAAGGAAACACTGTATCATTGCTGTTCATAAGCGCAGCGCTGCTTTGTTTACAGCGGTATCCAAGGAAACACTGTATCATTGCTGTTCATAAGCCCGATACCGATTAATTAACCGATAGTTTTTAAAATGGATGCTGAACAAAAACTAAAATAATGCTTTATTTAAAAAACAGTACTGAGCCATACTAGTAGTAGTAGTAATAATAATAATAAAAATGTTGAAATTAACACACTCTTAACAAGGAACAATACTTTCATTACACAGCTTTCATTAATCTTAATGTTACAAATGGTCTCTTATTTTAAAGTGTTTCCATTTCATTTCAACTGTCATGCTTAAAGATGCACATCTTTAAATATATAAACAAAGGCTATAGCAGTAAAATTATATACATATGGATATTGTATGTATACTCTCACACTTTAACTGCTTCTATTCTTGAACACTTGATTATTTATCGGCATGGATTTTTGCTGATAACCGATAGTTCCAGCAAAAACCTATCGGTGCCGATTAATCGGCAAAACCGATACATCGGTCGACCTCTACTAAGAAACGTGCAGGATTTTGTCCAAGCAATAATAAAATGCCACATTTAATTTATAATTTGTCTTAAATCTCATTTTGTAAAAAAAAAAAAAATCGTGAATCGAATCGTGAGTTGAGTGAATCGTTACATCCCTAGTATCAACTAAATTTGTGTTTGCAGTGCATCAGAATCTGCATCTGAAGTGGCGTTTAGATGCATTCACACATCAGACTGTTTAAGCAGGACATGAATGCCGTTCATCTACAGTTACACGTGCATTAATAATGTTTTGATGCTTAAAAAAAAAAAGCTTTAATACTGATATTTGAAATGATTTGGGGAAAAAAAGGAAATATACTTTAAATATAAACCTAAAATCGCCAGTAGGTGGCGGCAAATCAATAAAGGTGACTTGACTTGAATGAATCAGCCATTTGAACGAATCGTTTGAATTAATGAATCAATGACTC